AAGGTTTCTGATGGTCACCCAGGCAATGGAAAGACTTCACCAAGAGGGCAGAAGGGCTGCTTTTCTTAATCATTTTACTTGACTTCAGTAGGACTGGATTTTTCTGTTTGAGTGCTCAAGAGCACAGATGAAACATAATTCAAAAATAGAGGAAAGTGAAAAACTATTTTTAGTATTGAATTTTTAGTGTAGTTGGAAATAGACAAAGACAGTATGAAAATCTCTCCAAGCAGATGTACAGGTTCTTGCTTTCTCAGAAGTTGCCTAAAATTGGGCTTTGTCCATGAAGCAGAAGTAGGAGTGGAAGGAAAGGGAATCAGCTCATCAGCCTGGCCTTTGCCCAAACAGGGCTTCTGGGCACTATCAGCTTCCCCACTCTGTCACCAAGCCCACTAAGCTACGACCACTCACTAAACCAGAGGCAGCAGTCCTGTCCCTTTCCCTTGATAGTTTCTTTAGCATGATGCAAAACGTGATCATGGTCTTTGCTTAGTGCTTCACCAAGCAAACAGCCGCTCTGAGCTGATGCTCAGTCCGATACTCATGTGTGGTCCGCCTTCATCCATGTCTGTCTTGGCTCCATCTGGGATGTGGCTGCTGTCTAAGAATACAATGGGCAGGGGCCACTGAGCTCCCTTGGGGACACTCAGAGACAGGCTGTTAATGTTCTCCAAGTACTTGCCTGAGGATAAAGGAAGATCAGCCCAGGGAACCACTGAAAATGTTCAACAAATAGAAAAATCTATTATCTATATTTTAATGTGTATATATAATAATGTTTTGTTTATATAGTAACAGAATAAACAGCAATTGTGTATAAAATACTCATTTATACTAAATACTAAATTAAGAAAATAACCTACAAGAAATATTTCAAGAACTGAAGAAATGTCAATAATTTCACATAAAGATTCCAAATTCGAGGTGGTATAAAACTTGATCCCTATGGCTCCAGGTCTCATGTGCAAAACACAAGTGCCAGGATTACAGGATGTGCTACAATATCTGAATCACAGCCTACCCTTCAGGGATGTCTTTTCAGGTTTTGCTTTTCTCATTCCAGCATTTATCTCTGACTGCAGCAACAGGTGTATGGAAAGGGAAACGTGATCCGAAAGGGCAAAGGCCACTTCCTCCTTCTGTCTTACACTTGGCTCAACTGGCAACTGTGATTCCAGGCCCCTGGCATGTGTGCTTGGGCAGCCCTGCCCAGCTGTCCTAAAACTTGGCTTCACAAGGCTCTTGGGCAGGTGATTGGCTTGGCATTTCTCACAATCTCCAGCTGGGACCAGCCATTAGCAGGCAAATCCAAGGACAATAGTCCCTATGCAAACATATTTGGCACGCACTGTGGTTATATAAACAGTAGATCACAGTATCTTCCCCTATTTCACAAGTTGGAGAGAAAAATAAGTTTCTGATAAGCCCCCAACAAATGCAAATCATAAAACAAGATATATATATATATATATATATATATATATATATATATATCAGAGAAAAGATAACTCAGCTATTTGGGAAGGATTTTTTTGAAAAAGTGATAGAGAGGCTGAATAGTGAAAGAATGAGGCAAGGGAGGCAGTGTTTGCAAAGGGCTTGGGTAGGAAGCGAGCAGGAAGGAAGGACAACAGATTTCAAAGCAGAGAGAAGCAGTGGTGAGAACAGTGTGGAATATGCGCAGGGTGGTAACAGATCACAGAAATTTAGATTTGTATAAAGAACAGTGGGATATGAACCAGAGTGTTATATCCCACTGTACTTTATATAAATTTGAACTATGATCTAATTTCTAGTTTTAAAAAATCATGAGGGCTGCTATGAAGAAAATGGATTGAAGGAGAAAAGCTGAAAAGAGACTAGAAAAGAAATTCGGATGAGTCAGAAGAGAATCCTGTTAGACATTCAGAGACACTGACTTGATAAATACTTTGGTAATCCACTGTGTGTGATAAAGAAAGAAGTGTTAAAATCAACTTCTAAGTTTCCATTTGGACATATAGATGAGTAGGGATGTGGCTTCCTGGGCTGAGAAAACTGGAGGACAGAAGGGAAGGATAAGTTCAACAACTTGCTTATGGATGTATTCAGTTGTAAGTGCTACCTGTGAGAAATGTCAGGTAGGTTACAAGAGGTGAGTGGAAATGCAGAAAAGGGCTGTTGGCTAGACATATGCATATAATAATCATCAGTATGTACATAGATATAAAAGAAGATGTGTGTACAAAAGAATGGTTTTTGGTTAGAAGTATTAGAGAAGTGTGATGGAAGGCAAACTACTGAAGTATGGTCAGAGGCAAAAATAAAGAGGACAGAAGCCAAGAAGAGTTTTATCCTGCATCAAATGCTATTCATGAGTCCAATCACAAGAATACTAAAGAACCTCAGTGGGCTGGAAAGCACAGTGGCCTTCAGTAGTCATTCAAAGAGAAAATTTATGGAATAGCACAGGTCTGTGTCAAGTGGAATGTGAGACAGAGTTAGTTTGGAAATAAGGAGGGAGAGACACAGTGTACTCGCAAACTTGAAAGCTTCATGATGAACAGGAGAGAAAAAGTAGATTATTTTTATATATTGAATAAGTAGCTTATCTTAAAATGATAATTTTTAAAAATAATAATGGTTGGAAGCTGATCATAAAGATCTAGTGAGCTGGCAGGGATGGTGCACAAGTCCTGCAGACCTGAGAAAGTGTGATGGGATGATGTTCAGACCCAGCCAAAAGGATCGGTCTTTGATGTAAGGACAGAGCCTTCCTTAGTTGTGAGAAGATCGGTGTCTCCAATTTGTCAGTAAAGCAGGCAGTGAGAGATCATCTCTCAGTCAATGGGAGGAAAATGGACTAGAGATTTTAACACACTGAAGATACAAAATAGCTGCATCATAAAATGTCAAAGCAAGTTTATTGGAGAAGCATAACAAGACTGCCGAGCAGTGTTGAATCTACTAGAGCTTGATTATAAAGACTGTGCATTCATATCATATTTCCTGGTCTTACTTCTCACATCCCAAGTCCTCTCTGCAGCCTCTCAAAGTCAGTGCACTCTATTTTTTACACTATGTGATGACACAATAACTCCACCTGCCAAGAGCAACTAATCCCTTAACAGCTATGTGAGCCAGTCCTATACTTCAAGCCCTGCAGTCTCCTCTCCTTGCACTGCTTTTCTCAAGCCACCGAGACAACAACAGCTGGAGATGGTCTCTTCACCTGTTTCTGCCTGTGTTCTGGGAGGCCCACCTCTCTCGGCAAGAGGAGACAGCATGCCTTTCTCTGGGAAGTGAGATTCCCCACTGACCCAACTTGCTTCACTTTTGTGCCGAATATGATGCTATTTTGCTAGACATAGTAACAGGCTTGTAGGCTCTGCCGTAAGTGAGCTATGCAGAAATAAGTAACTACATGGAGGAGGAAGGCAGAGCATTTACAAGGTACATGAAACTCCACCCCAAGCTCCACAAGCTTTCCAGTATGACAAACAGTAAGAAAGTCACTGTAGAGCGACTTAGCTTAATTTGTATTTACTTAATATCAAAATGCTGTAAGTACCAAAGCTTTGGGCTACCATAAGCTACTGTTTTTATGCATTTATAATTTATAATATACAATTTTCTGCATATAAAATGCTATCAAATATTATATGATAAAATATAATTTTTTGCATTTAGAATAAGTTCAGAATTTATAAGTGAATTCTGAGCTGAAAACTGGGACTATCAGTCCTTTCACTTGTTTTGTGAACACCTAACAATAAGGATACATGCTACTCAAATATATTCACTGTTTCAAAGGTGAGGTAGAAGGAGCACATTAAAGGTTCATATGAAAAGGTTGTGTATTTAATTTTGATAAGTAGCTAACCAAACAAATGATATGTAGTTTTTAGTCCAACTTCCATCTTTGATATCATCATCCAGAGCTCATGTGTTGGTACCAAGAACTAATGTCCTTATTTATGACCCAACTTTCTTTCACTCATACTCTAGGGACAAAGAGTATTATTTATCGGTCTCAAACAAGAGCAGAACAAAGAATCACTTCCAGCAGAATCATTCTTCTGCACATGACCACCAGAACTTACTCTAATTGAAATGACCACCAGAACTTACTCTAATTGAAATGTTTTCTTTTTTCTCAGTTTAGCAAAGAACATGGTAGGCAGGGGGAAAAAAATGCACTAAATCTCATTTGTTTTTTTGCTTTCCAAAATCAAAATTTCATTTTTAATTTTAAGCTTAGTTCACTTACAACTAAGTTATAAATACAGGACAATGTATATTTCCAAGTGGGAAAAAGAATCTCATAAAAACCAATTCTAATTTGCAATTACTTTCTGAAGTTATAATCTGGAATTGTAAATCTGCAATTATTTTCTGTACTTTGTCTCCAAGGCATTGGTTAGTGCTCAGGTTGAAGCCTGACATGTATAAGCAGGATTTCATCCAAGCTAAGTGTTCCCTGTGTCTTCTAGACAGCTTTTATTTGGCAGTGTGAGGGGGAGCCCACTCCCAGAAAAACACTTTCAAAGAGCAGTGCACTTGCATTGGAGACAATAGCAAGGCAAAGCCATTGAGATAAACGGCTTGCATTATTATTTTAATAAACAGAAAAATGAAAGAAATCAAACCAATGAGACACCAGTGACAAAGAAGTTCAGTATTTTAAAAAGAAAAAAAAAAATGATGCTCAAAAAACAAGAGAAATGAGAAGAGTAGAAAGGGTGATGGGGAAACAAAAGCAATCCAGTCATCCTAAATTGAATGAGATGCCATGAAATGGCAGCTTCCAAATTATATGGGCTCTGCTGCCCAGTACCTGATGTTTCTCTGTGACAATTTATGATCTTAGAACTAGTACTCTAGTAGCACTGTCTATGGGACTGTGACACACAAATCCAAAATCAAGGGAACTGAAAAAATCACGGGAACATTTGTACTTAATCAACTGGGGACACAGCTTTATCCATAAAATTCATGTCCCAACACAAATTTTCTTTTACCTTGGTCTTTTCACCAATGATGTTCTTTTCCAGTTCTGCTATTTTCCGGTTTAGATGATCCAAAATCTCCTTCTCCTTCATTAGTTCAGTTGTCTCGGATTGCTGCTCTCCGTCCAAGAGGGAACATTCCATATCCAACTAAGGACACAAAACAGAACTCAGTAGCATTTTACCTCCGGGAACATTTTCAGTTGCCCACTCTGAGATACATGTTTAACAGCTAAAATTTTCAAAAAGCACTAATGAATCTCGCAGACTATGGAACACAGAGAACACTCTAAAGAATCCTTGGGAGGGTCAGGATTCCTACATAAGAAAGTTGGACAGCCCAGAATACATTTGCTAAGAAAACCAGTTTTCTTTTAGCTGTGTTACTCTTTCTGCTAACTTCTTAAGCACAGGCACAAAAAACCTTGGGAGAAGCTATGTCTTTGTCCCTAGAGCATGAGTGAAAGCCAGCCCAGCCCAGCACTTAAGCTCTGCATTCCTAGCAATGCCACTAGGAGGGGCTTCCAGGGCCCATGCACAAGATGACAGGTGAGCAGCCACCTTGCCACTTAATGGGGCTTTGGGCACATCTGTGAGTACAGACATTCAGATCCCCTTAGAATCAAATTTTTACTACATGGGACAAATATAAAAACTGCCAATATCTTCTAGTATAGCTAGAATATCTGTCTAGTACATGTTTTGCAAATCTCTTGTCAACTTTGTATCTAGTTTACATGTGAATCCCTCTATAAAGTCAATATGATGTATGACTCAGTAAGCATGCTCACAAAATCTTTATTTCATTTCAACTTGGAACACCTAACTATAGGATACTTAAGATAACAGATCTTGTGATCAGACAGCACATATAGTAGTAATTAAGACAAAACTGGCTGCACATAAGTTAACTTAATAGGAGCTTTATATGTTTATCTCAAGTGTTTAAAAAATAGAAAGAAAAAGAAATGTAAGTAAGGGCATTCTTTTCCCTATATTGGCACCCACTGAACAAATATTTGATGATGTCACCCTCTATGTATTTGTCTTCCAAGACTTGTGTTCTCATGAGCACAAATATTTTTAAGCTAAAGGAAAAAAATTTATACCTCTCTTGATGATTCATCCATCTGGTCATTTATATCTTTGATTTTTTGATTAAGCTCTTCAAGGTTGTTCAGAATTACTATCCGGGTGTCCTCCATTGCAGCCAATTCCTGAGCCCTCTGTTCTTCACTCATACCTTCTGGGGTCTGAGATTAATCAATAAATACATGTTATTCACACTTCAGCTCCACAATTCCTGATTTCACTTGAGAGTCAGCCGCCGGCCTACTGTTTCATCATTTTTATGCCCACATAAATGCTTAAAGCACCCCTGATCTTCTTCAGGTGGCTCTCCAGTACACTTACCCAGCATCACTTCATCCTCGGGCAGTTACATTCTTAGATAAGCTCAAACTAACCAGTCTCAATTCCCAAGTGCATATCTTAAAAGAACTAAAAGGTTACACAGATGAGAAAGTGTGGTTTATAAAACCTGAAGTGGCTTCTCCAATGTTATTTTAGACAAAGTTCAGGACCCCAGAGAACTTGAACCAAGACACGACATCTGCCTTGAGAATCACTTGAGTACACTGCTGTCTTTAGCTCAAGGTCTATGTTCTCCGCCATCTCCTATAGAAGTCTCTTGAGTCCCTCACTATATGGTGGGTCTCAGTGCCACGGTTGCCTATAAGTGAACATCCATGCCTATTTATTACGTTTCTAGTACAAGGTGGGAAAACAAGGGCACAACACGTTGGAGACTCCTGAAGTGATTTCAAACAACTCATTCAAGGGCCGGGTAGACGGCTCAGTGAAATAAGTGGTTCCCTGGAAAGCACAAGGCCCTGAGTTCAATCCCCAGTTCCACCAAAATAAATAAATAAACAAATAAATCAAACAACTCATTCAAATGTTGCTGGTTGCTATGCCACTTTTTGTATTAGTGTACCATTTACTAGTTGTCATACAGACCTTCTCCCTATATAATATTTAAGATACTAGCCAAACCAAGTATGACTGAAAACAGGACATTAGCTAGCATTTATTCCATAGAAAAACTGAGTTCCTGGCAAGGAAAGAGAAAGTCAGCAAATGAATTATGGAAGAAAGGGCATACCTAAAGGTGTGAATAGAGTTAATGGCAAATGTTCAGGGAAGAAAACAACACTATGGATCACACACACAGCCCCAGTAAGACTGCATACTGCATAAGAAAATGATGTAGCAAATTGAAAACATCCTCTTTTCTCAAGAATTCCAGCTTAGCTCTCTTGGGTATCATGTAAACAGGACCAGACTTTCCATAAGGCAAGAGATGCCAGTATTGGTCTATCATTTACTAACTTTATCTCTGTTTGAAAATGACCTTTCAAAATAAATCCTTAATTAGATAATTCCACAATTCAAAAACTGAAAACAATGATACAATTAAGTACATTAGTGAAGATTCATTAATCATTTAAAAGAATAGTCAAATTAACCAAAGAAACCTCTAAAATTTAGTATATCACAATGCTTTCATATAATTTATAAATCAACCTTAATAACTCCAAGAAAATATTTATTGTGCCACATTATACATTCATTAATCTTTACTTTGCAGCTCCTTAAGTAGATTAAATGATGGAGAATTTCATATCACAGGTTACTTGAAACACATGTGCCTGAGCCTTCCAAGCTCTGACATTTAGTTTTTTAATTATCATCTTAAATCCAGCATCTTACCAACTAATGAAACAATTGCTGACCTTTTTATTACAAACAATGAAACTCATTGCCTTAATATATGGGTGCTGATTTTAGGCCATGAGAAAATAGTGAATGGCATTTCAAAATCACTGCCCCATAATCCAACAGGAAGCCTCACGAAGGCCAGCATCCTGTTGGGTCAACATGACGTATTAAATTTCTACTGCCAACATGGTTTAAAAATATCTCTCACTGGTGGAAATAAAGCCTTAAGAACAGACAAAACAGCTGAGCAAAATCTACAAAACTATAAACTTTAGAAGCAACTAGAAATAATAATTAGCAGTGAAAATTTTGAGTAATTTTGTAACTCTAAGTTTTCAGAAAATATCTCAATAAGTCTATCTAATAGATAATTCAAGAGGTGCCTGAAGGCAAGAGATAGGAAAAGGAATATTGTGGGGCTGTCCTGCTTCGAGGTTGTATATGGTTAGATTTATGGACTTATGTGTGAACATAAGAAGTATATAATTCTTTATGCTTATTTTTTAAAATATATTCTAATTTTTAAATGTTTTTTCATCATATCCTATAGGGACTTGAAGTTCAACATATCAATACTTGATGAAAAATGCCTGTTCCATGTTATGCCTAAGATGTTTGATACTCAGACAGATAGTGAGGTTAAGCTTAACAGCCTAGGTTGTATGGTAATAACAATAAGCTTTTCTTCTGGAGGGTTAACAACCTAAGTTTGCAGACCAAAATTAGAGAAAAAGGAGGGCTGCAAGGAAAGCCAATATTTTGGCCTTAGCCTTCCAAGGTCAATTAAGACTCAGGACATATGAGAACTTGTACTGTAACATCATGTAACTCAGTAGTGTCCCCAATTTTCTGATCAAGGAGATTATGGGGCCAAAGAGGAAAGTGATCGATGATGTAGAGTGTGCCTAAGGAGAGTCACATGGGGAGAAAACATTCAGGTTTTCACAGAGAGCACATTGGCCAAGCAATGGCTGTGACTCATCCACATGGCTGACACTGACAAAGGTTCTACAATCTGAGGTACAGGATCTCAGGATAAATCCTGAGGGGATTTCACTAACCTTATCAGACCCAAAAGCTATAACTCTTGTTGCATAGATCCTGCTTTACCTTGGTCTTAACCATCCAGCAGAAAAGTATAAAAACGAAGTATAAGAAGTAAAGCCATGCTGTTATGTGAAGCTGTAGGGGTCTCAGGTCAACAATTTCTGACATTGCCAGTGAAGCAGAAGACCCAATACTATTATGGACTACTGAACTCTTTTAGAATATTTTGCTGAGTTTACACACCTATAATATTTAAATGATGAAACTTAACAAAAAAAGGGGATACTGATGAATGTCCATTTTGTATCTGTGTATTCAAAGTAGTTAGGATAGATATATAGTTACATTCTCTTAATGAATAGAGGGATTTATTCTAATGGTGTTGGAAATAGGATATCAAGTCTGCATCTTGTACAGCAATTAACCACTAGGAAGAATATATGCAACGTGTTAATTATTGAAACTGTCCTACCAATTTGGTTTGAAACTGTCTCATTGCTATTTGTTTCTCAATAAAATTATGGAAAAAAATAAAAATAAAAATAAATAAATACTAAAAATTATTTAAAAAAGAGATGCTAATGGTACTCAATGCCATCTAGGAAATATGAGTGGGGCTTTTATTGTTATTCATAATAGAAAAATCTTTAAGAGACATTCTAAATTTAGCACTTTATAATAAAAAGGTGTTAAAATTATATAAGCTCATTAACCACAAAAGAAAATCAAAGAGATCCAAATTATAGCAATCATGGAACAGTTTTAATCTTACAGTGATAAAGTTAGACTTTAAACATAATGCCTTTTGCTGTAATTTTTCTGGGGCTATTTTTAAAGTAGTGGCCAAAATCCACTGGCACAGTGCCATACTTTAATAACCACATTCCACCTGTAGGTGCATCCTGGATGCACCATCTTTAAAGTAGCTTGACTCACAGAGAGGGGAGGTACAGGAGAGGGCAGGGCCCACTAGTCCCTTTTGCAGCAGGTCACTTCAGGATGCAACCAAAAGAGGTGAAGGTACAGGGATTTCCTCTGTAGGTAAAACAATTGCTGTAAAACAAATGCTATAGAAGATATGGTGGAAGCTATTCCTGAGTAAATCAGCTTTGGCCTTAGATGGTGATAGGTTCACAAAGGCTGGTTAAAATTATCATATTTCCTTGGTCCTGTGTATCTTTTTTTTTTTTTTAAATATATTTAGTACAGGGTCTACAGTGTCTCAGTATACAGATTGTACTGCCCGGTGCTGTGCATCTTTAAGTATCAGATAAAGTACAAGAAGTGATCAAAACATAAAGGGAATGCTTTAATCTTAAATATTTGTTACAGGGAAATATACAACGCTATGCACCTTCCTCAAAGTAGTCTCCCTTTCTTCAAATATATTTATTCCATCATTCTTGCCATTTTCTAAAACAGTTCTGGAAGTCCTTTTTCATGAATGTTTTTAAACATTATGTCTTTCACTTTGATTTCTCTGTTTCTCTGGGGTGATAAAAAATATGGTGAATTCCACTACTGAGTGCCATCCAGTGGAAAGTCAGGCTTGTAAAAACATTATGGATTTCTGTATCACCCTATTCACTGGGTCCAACACCATTCGACTTCTGGGTCTTCTCCAAAGTCAAAATGACCATGAAAAGTAAGTGTTTTAAATTAATTTAGGACATCAGGGGACCAGTGTCACTAAAGATACTCATAAAAGAGGATTTCCTTTTTTTTTTTTTTTTTTTTTTGGCAGAACTGGGGATTGAACTCAGGCCCTTGTGCTTGCCAGGCAAGCACTTATTCTATTGAGCTACTTCCCCAGCTCCAAAAGAGGACTTTCAGAATTGCTTCAAATTGGCAATAAGGTCAGGATAAGTGTACCTGAAGTCAAAAGGAATATCTGGGGTAGAATCAATGGCCATGTTTCTTTTACAAAAATATTTTAAAATTTAAACATTCACCATATTTTTAGGTCATAAATTCCAGGTAAGTGAATCTCAAGTTTTGTAGATAGCATAAGATCTTTGTTTGTCTAAATAAATTTTTCACATTTTTTTCTCCCCCATTTTGTTTAACTATAAATAAGCTAATGAGTATTACTGTCTACTTTATGAAACAAATCTCCATTGCACAGATGACCGAGAGCGCAAGCACTTCCAAAATAAAAAAGGAGCTTATTTGTTCTTGAGTCTTCCATCCCTTTTCAAGTCAATATATAACCATCTTTGAAAAGAATTAAGAGAGAACTCATTCCCAGAGGCCCATAGCCTTTCACTTGCATGCCAAGCAACCACAAGGTCCCCTGGGGCCATCTCTAAAGGACGCGGCCTACTGTCTCTTGTGGCCAGTGCCTCTTATGGCCTACACTCCAGAAGAGTCCTTTTCCACAAAAGAATACCTGAGCAATTAAAAGCGTGTGGCAGCATCTGCTTCTTCATGCCCTACAGCTTTCTCTTCAGCTTTACCTAGGAAGAAACCAGTTCCTAAAACGTAGTCTTTAGAGAGAACACATAGCTCAGAAATTAGGAAAATACAGACTCCCCCAAAGAACATTCCAGGTAGTAAATTAGTGGCAGAATTTAACACCAGGATTTATTTTTTCTCAAAGAATCAGTTTATGTCTTATAACAAAGAATACACTAATGTATGTTTTTTACTGTCATCGCTCTGCGTCCATGACTGCTGCGATTCTCAGAGCTGAACTTAACAGTAAGAGTTACTATTTCATGAACCATGTTTATTCTTAAATAAATCAATCTACATTATACACACGGTGTCACTTTTACTCTTATTTTGGTGTGCTAATTTTAGCCCAGTAAAATGATTTGATTTATTTTATTTATTTTGGTACTGAGTATTGAACTCAGGAACTTCCACTTGCCAGGTGGGTGCTTATACACTGAGCTATCTCCCCAGCCAAATGTAATCCCCCCCGCCCCAGAACTGGGGATTGAACTCAGGCCCTTGCGCTTACCAGGGAAGTGCTTATTCCACTGAGCCTTCTCCCCAGCCCCAAATATATATATTTTAATGTTGTTATGGTTTGGGTCTAGTTGTCCCCCCAAAGCCTCATGCAGTCATGGGGTGAGGACTTGTAGAGTTTGTGTTAACTCATGATCCACTGGGATTCTGTGTGATCCAAGGCTGGGATTATGGGTCTTAGTACTGCTGGGATTACCCATAGGTGGGTAAGTACTGGGAAGTACCCATAGGTGTGAGTACTTCCCCTACCCT